AAGGGTTACTCAAACAACAATTGTGTTTGGCAATGAAACGCAACTCCAGGTTTTGAGGAGGTAACATTATAACATGGCTTAAAGTTCACGAGAGTCAATTTTGAGTAATATAGAACCTGGTATCATTCAGTATCATTATGTGTTCACATATAGGTGTCTAGTTTCAATACTAATTGTCTATATTGGTGTCTATAAGCAAAACTTCTCATTCCCAACACCATTTACTTCTCTTAAAGCAAAAATGTGCTCCTAGTTTTGCCAATTGTCGCGTTGATTTTACTTAAGAAATGTTCATTATCTTTAGAACACGTGTCTCCTGTGTACGCAGTGACACTTGGACAGGTGTGAACACGCTGAAAGATCACGGTGTCACGCAGCTCATTAAACCCCGCTGCTGTTCGTCTCCATGGAAGCGTTCTGCGCCAGTGATGTAACCATGCAGGCGTCCAGGGACACGAGAGGCATCTGCACCCGATTCCTCTAATATGTACTTGTGCATGTACAGCCCCGACTTTGATTACACACTCGGAACAAAGCACCCTTGACGCTCAGTGTGGCAGGATGTACGCCTCCATTTTCCCTCTTTCCCCTCTCCAGGTCTTCAGCTGTTTTCCTACGCTTTGTTTAACTTTTATTTCTTCGCCAGTGCTCAGGGTGCGACACCTGCTGAACATTATTTTCCAAAAGCATGATCATGTGTCATTCTAAGGATACATAGTGTAATCAGGCGCGCCATCTGGCAAACGGCGCATGCCCCATCAAGCTCCAATGTGTCGCATCTGTTGATCAAATGGATGTCTCATTGTTTTTGGAGTGAACACCCTTAACCTCGAAGCCCCTGCATTATGGAGCAGTGTTGCAGGGTGTGTTGAGGGGTTGTGTATGCACTGGCCAGAGGAAGGGGTCACATATTCTAATGAAGTGTCACAGTATAATCAGTGTTGTTGCTGGTCAAATAATTTTACTGATACTCTATTTCAATTTGAATCAATACACTGTAGTAGCAAGGACAATACAGGAAAACCTTTCTGGAGATTTTTTGTAGGCTTCTGCAATTTACTTGCTAAAACAAAACAAAACAAAAAACAAGAAAGCTATAATGGTTAAATGCATATGACAGATTTTTATGTATATAATCTTGACTTTATGTGGTGAGGTAATGGGATTTTAAATACAAATGACAGTTTTGCACAAGTCAAATGTCAGTTTGGAAAGAAAAGTTGAGAAATATGTTGAAAATGACAGGAAGTAGTTCCAAAACATATTGATGGCATCATGCTAGGTATACTCATTTCCATTCAAAAGCTGGATACAATTTACACACAAGAAATACATTTCACATCGTAACATAAAAAAAAAACAACAACCTTATCTTTAAATAAAATATTTATAAAGTGGAGGTTAAAATACAATGAATGCTCAATTTCATCTTTAATATGGTTTTAGTTTTCAATATTTCCTCACATCCCAGTGCTGAGGTTATACTCATCATTTCGATAAAAGATGAATGCCATATATTCACCTGAAGGTACGGTAGGGCCAACCAAGTGCCGCTGCTTTATGCTAATCAAAAGTGCTATATGCGATTGAGAAAGAATGGCTTATTGCTCCCACTTTGAAAGGAAAGGGGACATTAAACTTTCTACCTTGACATTGGTGCCAAATAAAAGGATTTATGGATTTATTTGCAGCTATTATTTGCTTAATGAGACATCTTAATGCATAAATTAAGGCTCTCAGGAAGCACACGTCCGCTCAGCTCAATGACCCTAAAACAGATTCTGATACCACAAAGAATCATTTCACCCATTCACAGAGAACATCCTTCAGTCGCTCAGTACTGTCAGTCTACTGGCCTACTTATACACACAGCCTTGCCAGTAATGTTATGTATTCCTTCAATGAACACGGAATAAGTCAGAGGCACAGGAGTAGAAAAGGCAGTGAAAGAGCAAGCTCAAGTGTAGAGATTAATGAGGGGGTTGTTTGAGTGTTGTTTCATTCATGTTACTTTTATGGGAAGAAATCTCAGACCACACTGCATGCTGCAGGAGTATATGCTTGAGCTGTATAACAATATGATCAAAGCACACAGTGGTGCAAAGTAACAGAAAACAAGGACCTCTTTTGAAAAAAGAGCTCATCTCTTTGGTCAATAGTCAAGGTCTGGCAGATTTTCTCTCATTGTTATTTTGTAATTATATAGTATGAACCATTTCTATCAATACACTTTGTCTACTTTTCAGAAGAGTATAATTACATGCTGAAATATGTCAATGCATAAACATATAAGGTCCCAGCACTTGTCCTCTTACTCCAGTTTTGTCTCAAAAGTCCACAGTAACTGACCTTGAAAACAGAGGTTTGTCCTCGTAAGTAACAAACACACTGTACACACACTCAGACAGACACACATGTGCACGCACGCGCACACACACACACACACACACACGGGCACACACACACACACACACACGGGCACACACACACACACACACACACACACACACACACTGGTACACTGTGCACAGTGGAGTTGCACCGTCTTTCATCAGCACTATTGTGTGGTAAAAACAGGTATGGCCGCCAGAGCCCACAATGAGTATTGCCATGCTGTCAGTGCTTGAACCATCAAAATAAGATGCTTCTCAGCAAGACGCAGCTCCACTTTTAATCACTGTTTCTGATTGATTATCCCCGCCCAAAAGTGCACACTTTGCACTGAAAACATCACAGTGAATATTTGACAAATGGATGTCTGCTCAGGATATATTGCCTGAAGTGATTGTAGATGTGGTGCACTGTCATCAGGCTGTATGCACAGGCTCCTTCAGCTGGAGCTGCACATATGTTTAATAAAAGCTTTTATTTCTTTGGCTCGGCATGCAGGCCGGACTGGATGAATGGGTGTCTGTAAAGAATAAAGAGACACAAGTCCAAAGTGGCAAATAAAAGCAGCCCGTTGCTGGGTGTACATTTGTGTGTGTGTGTGTGGGTGAGAGCTGCGAGAAAATGTTTCTTGCTCACATAAAGCACAGAGCAGAGAAAATGTGATATAGTGCGGCAAGGCTGCAGCTGAAGCTGATGATGGATATGAAGAAAAACTCAAATGGGCCTTGTTGCACTGATGGCAGTTCTCTCTTACAACGATTGGTTTAAAGTTACCAAAGTCATCACCTTAAAAACTCAATACTGCAGTGTTGACAAAGTATGTGTGCGCAGCACAACAAAGACTGGATACTGTATTATTTATTTCAGCCCGGCTTTTGTTCACTGGAAATCTTGAAGTTTCCACTGTCTCAAGGAAAATCAAGTGCTGCTGAATAAGCAAATGTTATGCAGTGGGTAGGTGTTTCAAAGTCCTTCTCTCTGTGTAACGTTTCTGCATAGGGGCTGTTTGTTATGGAAAACAAAGCTAAGTGCATGCAGATCATGTGCAAGCGCTTCAAAGCACAAGGTCAAAATACTATGGGGAAATTAGCGCCTTATCTGTAAACTCACTTATTGATATTCCTTATTCCGCCGCCACTATTCCCCAAATTTCCTGCTCTCACAAACAACTTAAACATGCAAATCCACTCAATGTGTTTTTCATCTCTGCCTCTTCTTCTCCACTGGAATAATTTTGGATTAGAGCGCCATGTGGGCACTGCCTTTTGGCCTTCCCGCAGCTTCTTTACACACAGTTTATTTATACAGGCGTGATCAAAAATACAAACTCATCTTCAACAATAGCACTGCACAAACACACCACCACCACAGCACACATTTACACACATGCTGAGAGCTGCAAATCTGCCTCCAAATGCATTACACTGTCTCATCCCCAAGGTGTAACTCTCCCACCTACAGGCAGTGTGCACTATATATTTGTAACTATAGTACCTTTAAGGAAACTCCCAGCTCATACACTGCAGTCTTGTACTTTATTTTTAAACATAATTCCTATTACTTCTACATGAGTGTTTTCCAACTCGCTGTCATTATGTGACTACACATCCTGCCAAATGGCAATAAACAGCTGACTAGTGAATATTTAAGTATGTAATCTCTCTTTCCTTAGCCAAATTTTGATGTCGTGGAGGGAAGTGAATCTTGAATTTTTCAAGGCAAACCACTTTTTTCCACTAAATCGAAACACGAATGCACCTGCTTCAAACTAAATCACCTCCTCTTAAGTGGAATGTAATGTACAGTGACACTGTCTATGACCCGACCATCCTGAAAAATAAAGTGGGGTTATCACTGAGCATACTCCATCTGACTAAAGACTGAAATATGACGAATTTATTAAGAGAATCTTTATGGTTTAGATGGCAGAAATAAAGGTCTATTGTTGAAAAATTATAGCACATACAAAGCCTATTTTGATTGGTTTAAAGGGTTAACTCTTAATAACTGCGAAACTGACACTCGTGAGCTTTAATCCATGTTATAATGATGTTACCTCATGAAAACATGCCTAGAGTTATGTTTTGTTCCATTCACATATGTTTGAGCAATCCTGCATTATTAATCTGCCTACATCTCTGAAGCTCGAAATGCTGTGTTCCACGTTGTGATGTCATTAAGCAGTAGTTTTCAAGTTAACAGCTACCATTTATTCAAAAAAGATTAGCAATTCCAGGGTTGAAATTATCCAAATAATTCCATTAAAGTTTAAAAACACAGTGGAGCACTTCCAGTATTACTACATAACATCATAAAGTGGAACAGAGTGTTTTCTATTTCAGAGAAGAACTTATCCTAAATACGCATGGTTTGTGTGTTAAATGTGTGTAAATGAAACAAAAAGAAACTCCAGGCATGCGCTAGAAGAGAAAACAGCATTATAATATAGATGAGAGAATAGTGTAATGCGGGCCTTTAAACAGGTTGTGTTTAGGTGGAGGTCGGGGCGGGCGCACTTGTTACACCTTGTATGAGCAGTGTTAGCAAAGCACACATGCAGCAAAAGAAAAGGAAATGAAAGTGAGTGCTCACCCAGGGTTTGATGAAACTCACCCGACACCGGGGTCATGGGGGTGGGTGGCAGGCTGTTGATGTTAAGCGCCCCCATCTGGTGGATCTGTGTGGCCGGGAATGCCACGCTGGGTGTGAGGTAACCTCCGTGGCTGGCTGCCATGATGGCTGCCTGCTGCTGCATGAGCTAAAGAAGAGGGACAGGGGGAATTGATGGAGGAGGAGGAGAAATGAAGTTTCGGATGGACAGATGAGTCCAAGTGTGAGCAAAGAGAGTGGTCCAGAGGTGAGGGGAGGACAGATGGTAATGAAAAGTACAGCAAGTTTAGGGAAAGAGTGGGACAAAGGCACGAGAGGAGCCGGAGCAGAGACAGAAGCCAGGCAGAGGGTAGGACAGAGGGAGGATGAAGTGGAGGGTGATGGATGGAAGTGCAGGGGAAGTACAGAGAAAGTAGAGCGGAATGAAAGAAAAGGAGAGAAAAGAGAAGCCTGTCAACCTCTGTTTAGAGAACGTGTCTGTCCTCCCAGCAGGACGCCTGTCAAACGCAGCACAAACCCTTTAATAGCTGTCTGTTGGGTTCATACAAATCAAGCCATTGACATGTGCACATTATCTTTTTCCCTTTTCCGTACGATTGTCAAACATCACAATGGCCCATTTGGCTGCATTCAAATGCCACAGAAGACTTTTGGCCTGAACCGCTCTCTCATTCTTCTGACGCTGTGTGTAATTACAGCTGTTCAAGGGCTCACGCTAAAACATTTTCTTGTAGATTTTTTGTGAAGCTTTACACCCACTGGTCTGTGCCTGGACATTTCAGAACAAATACATTGTTTTTAGAAAGACAAACTTATATAGGTAATTTTACTTTAGCAATTTGCTTATAAGTAGAACAACAAACACTGTGGAGAAAGCCTGGAAGTTATGGTGATACAACATCAACAAAACCCTTATCAAATAACAACATGTTCCCATTATCCATTAGCAGTTGTTGTTGTTTCATGATTAACTGCAGTGTCCTATTTGTTGAAAACATAAAAAATAGATGCATTTTTTTCATGTACAAAATGGGAGTAACCATTAGATAATCACATGCAAATAACAGTCTGTCACACCTTTGCTCTGACACAGAATATGATCAACAGGTGAACAAGACCAGAGTCCAGACTTGAGCATGTGAACTGTAAAAGTGTAAAAACAAAACAAATATTTTTCGACTTCTGTGTCAATGACTTTGCACTATTCATTGAGCTGTAGTGCACAAATGAAAAATGTTATTGTGGTTTCCTGCTGCACCCACAACCACAGGAGCGACAAAGTTACACGTCCGTGTAGTGAGTTGATATTCAGCCGCTGGACAGGCTGACAAAGAGATAAAATCAATATTCTTGTATTCATATGTATTAGCGCTGTTCCCTGGTGCGCTGGCCCCATCAGCTCACACATATGCATGAGGAGACCACTATTTAAGTTCCTGCATTCGGCTTTAAGTCTCCCTGTGCAGGCAAACCACATGCTGAATGCCTAATTCTAAAGAAAATCCATCAATGTACAATGGCTTTTGCAGCTTGTGAACCACTGGGTTTATCTTGGCGATCAATAATCTTTTGTAGGCGCTGTAGCTGCCCATCAGGCATGCAGACCTGTGTGGGGCAGGAATACAAACGCAGCCAGCGGACCCACCTCTTGGCCCTGTCTGTGCATATGTTTACTGCAGAGACTACAGGTGAAAGAGAGAGCATTTTGAAAATAACACAGATTCTAGTACAACTTACTCTTCTGTTTTATAAGATGATAAAATACATCAGTTTAATTTTTTTTTAAAATTACATTCTCATAGCCAGTCTGCAGTCTATAGTGCGGTGATTTTAGTTTGATTTATTTTTACGGTGTATTTATTCATACAAACAGTACTGTGTCCCCAGTGATGATTGCTTTGTCTGGAATTATATAATATTATTGCCTTGAAAAACATGCAGTTGCTCTCCACAGATCTGACCTGTAACTTGGCCAAACTTGTCTCCATGGAGATAGACAAGTTTAATGCCATGCTGTGGAACATTCCAGACCAATCAATATCAACTCCATGGCAACAAGCTGTTTACTTTGTAGCCATATCAGATAAAAATATGTTTGGATAAATACTTGTAGTAATAAAAAAAACTTCCCTCTTTACTATCTTGATGACATACGGTGCTCAGGTGCTCATAAAATACTAACTCATGCTAATTCATAAAAAATAATAGACACAAGATATAATCAGATGGTCATACAGCAGTGGATTGGATTTTCCATTGGCTACTGTATGTAAATTGCGATGTGGGAAAAAATCTGAAATGTAAAATAAAAAAGTGTGTCAGTGGAGTTGGTGATGGCCACTCGGAGCAGCGGAAATCAAATTCTCCTGCCACGGGCGCTGATGCTAATGACAACATTGCGAGACGGTGCTGGCGGTAGGAGACTGTGGCATTCTGCTTGGATTTGCATGTGGGGACAGTGCAAACGGGAAAAGCTAATTATTTTCCCTCAGTGCCCCTGTCAGCTAACCTGAAAGTAGCTGTCCCGCTGCAGAATGCCCAGCGCTGGCACCTCATCCATTAACTGTGTGCCTCTCCAGTGCTATCTATTAACGCCTTTTGTCATTTGCATAATTTTATCAACTTGACAAATGGGGATCATCCATTCCTTTCCAAATAAGATGAATTGAGCCTTTAAGGGGGTTATAGCCGAACCAGACAGCAAGGGAACAAGAAGCTAAACAAAAGCCAGACACACAAACAAATACAGAGGTCTAAAGGATGCGGATGTGGTGATTTGGGCACTGGGGTAACTATTGCCCCCAATTAGGATGTGAATAGGCTCTGGAAAAGCTACTCAACAATGCTGTCATACCATTTAGGGTTTTGGGTCTTTCTGCAGTAATTAGCAAACTTCCAATCAACTCCATAGCTGTACTGGATGGAGTGATGATAGATATATATGTATGTTTACTGTTGCAGTGGGGAAATGTTCAAAAGTTACCATGGAGACACAATGTACACGTCAGCAAACACTGCCACAGAAGTTTTAAGAAGAAGTCTGAGAACTCCAGAAAAAAAGTGTGGCAATGGAATATACATATTTTCTGATGCCTGTGATCAACACGAGTGTTCATGGTCCTGTTTAAAAGTAATCTTATTTGTAAGAGACTTGTTTGTGCACAGATCATCTCACCTGTTGTACTTCCAACTAAGTCAGCTCTTTCTGGGCACAGTGTTAAAACAAAGCTCAAATTAAAGTCTCATAGATCTTCTGACAGTAGCTGGTGCTTTCAGTTAGCATCACACCCCCAGGAAATGTTGAAGACGTCATTTGTAAGGTATCAATAAGATGACTACGCCTAGAATCCTCCAAACCAATAGGGGGCCCCAAATCTCAATGTTCAATGTACATGTTTAATGTTCAATATACATGTTTAAAGGTGCACAATGTAACTTCCCACCTGCTTATCTCAGTTGGGTTGTTATTGCTTTGCCTGGAATGTTCCACAGCATGGCTTTAAATACAATCTATCTAGCATTTATTTCACTTTGAATGTTTGTATTGTATTTTTATTGCTCACAAATACCATGAATTCTAGCTATAAGCAAGATTGCCTCTCCACAGATGTGACTTGTAACATGCCCTGTGATGCCATCCACTTGTCTCTATAGTGACAGATAAATTCAATGCTGTGTAATATTCCAGTTAAACTGCACAATCATGGGGAATGTGCATTCCACTGCACATACAGTAAGCTTAGGGAATGTGCAATTATTAATAGAATACAAGATTGCAAAGGGCTTGCCTGTAAAGAGTGACTTAAAGGTCCTGATAGTGCATCACTCGTGGTCATACTTGGTCTTGTATCTATTTCTGTTCTATGGTGGTGGTTGTGTGGTGCTTTGGGTTGTGTTGTACTGTTTTTAATAAAGCATGTGATCCTAAGACAAATTTAATTATCTCAACTTATTTTATTTTATCTTATCTTAAAGCAATAATATTTCCATCAATACAAACTGCATGGTGGAGGACACCATATATATATATATATATATATATATATATATATATATATATATATATATATATATATATATATATATATATATATATATATATATATATATATATATATATATATATATATATATATATATATATATATATATGGGGGGTAAATATTTGATGGTCATACAAACAATTTGCCCACATAGAAATTATCATAATGCCCCCACAAACAAACCGCCCTGATCGTTTCAGCGTATACAAACTTTGTTGAGAGCTTGTGAGTTATTTTTGTAAAGTAGCTATAGCACAACTGAAATGACCAACCCTGCACTCTCCCAGTACATAGTTTAGATGATGCTAAATGGCATCAGATTGTCAAAGAATAACAACGGCGCCACTTGCTGTTGCTTCGTTTCAAAATTAAAACGTCGCAAACAGGAAACCGAAGCATGTAATTATGTCAGAACGGCGTGGCTAATACAAACGCGCTTTGATATAAAATATAAATAAATAATCGGACCAGTGTTGACAGAGTTATCAAAGTCGCTCCATTTTACTTGTTGCGTTCCGACCCCTTTTGGACTAATTTCAAAGGCACTGTATTCAAAAGCCATTTCCTTTATTTATGCAGAGGGGATTGAAAATCTCTCCGGTGCCGAATGAAGTGTCCTTTCCGAGTTCCTTGTGCAAAGAAAAGAAGGAGGAAAGAAGAGAGGAGGGACAAAAGAGAGGAGATGAAAAGACGGCAGGAGTAAGTTAGGCTGGGTTTCCGCGGCATTCATTTAGTGTCGGACATCTGCTTTTTTATGGCAACCTGATGGCATTAGTCTCCCCTGGTGCCAGTGCGCAATCACCTCTTTATCACATGGCAATTATCTTTGTAGTGGCGCTCGGTGACTCTCGGCCCTGTCACATGTGACCCCTTACAGCCCCAGCAGCAGGCAGTGAAAAGAGGAAGCGGCTAAAAACGGGCGGAGAGGGAAGGCGGAAGGCCAATAAGCTGAATTATAGGACCCACGATGAGAGATTGGCCAAGATCGCTTGTTCCTTTTACATTACGTTCAGTCATAGCGTCAATAAATTAGACCGTGGTTACAATTAATGTTATCAGTGTCAAAATGCTTCTGTGGTTGTTTTTTGTTAGCGCCATTATTTTT